GGGTGGGGGAGGGAGGGGCGCCGCTCACTCGCCTTGCTGGGCGCTTCCTCAGGTTGCCGTGCCGCCGTTGCCGCTGGCCGGCGGCCCGGCTGAGGACGGCAGAGCGACCTTCGTTTGCAAGCCCTTTCTATGACCACCGCCGAACCCGCCAAACCCCCAAGATTTCATCCTCCGGCCACCTCAGCACCGCCAGCTCCCTGCCCCCCCCCCCTCCTCGATGCCATACATGTGGGGCGGTCCCTGTCAACCCATCCAGACACGCCGCAGTACCCGGACGAGGCGCCCTGCCTCAAGCCCCGCAGCGTCAGAGGCCTCAGCGACGCCGACATCCGCGCTCTCCAGTCAACCTTGGACGCCGTCGTCCAAGAGAACCTCGGCATGGCGATGATCTACAACCTCGTGACCACGAGCCAGGAGTGGCTCGCGCAGCGGCTGCGGCAGGCGGCGGGGCCGGACCCGGAGGCGGAGCGGAAGCGGGCGGACGCGGAGGAGGAGGCGCGGCACGCGGCGATGCGGGCGCACGGCCACCAAGTCACGGTGGAGACCTTCCTAGCCTGGAAGAAGAAATTCGACGCAGAGATGGCCGCCCAAAAGGCGGCCGTGGCGGCGGCGGACGGCGGCGGCAAGGGCGGCGGCGGTGGGGCCATGGGCGGCGGCGGGGAGGCGCGTATCACGGGCAAGGCTTGGTTCCTGCGGCAGGCGGCGGCGGGCGAGGCGCTGTCTGGCAGCGAGGAGGAGGACGGCGAGGAGAGCGCCGACTTCGATGCCGGGGCGGGGGCGCAGAGCAGAAGCGCTGACGACGACGAGGACGACGATGAGGACTACGATTTTGAGGATGACGAGGATGAGGATGACGAGGACATGCTGGAGCAGCTGCTCGCTGAGAAGGCGGCCGGGAAGTGAAGTGACACAACACCGGCTTCGCAGCGGTTGCTTTCACCACATGACACCTGCGGCGGGCGCTCCAGCGCCCGCAGCACGGTGGCGCAACCCGCGGCAGCCGCAGCAGTGGCGGCGCGGCGGCCCTGCTGGCACGTTTCTGTTGCGCCTTGTAATCGTAAAGGTCGAGGGCAAAGCTTCATTGCAAGGGGGGGGGGCGCAGCGGGGGAGGGCTGGACGTTGCCGCGCGGGGCCACAGCGCCGAGGCGCACGAAACACTGCAAAGGGGATGAACAGTCAAGGGCATCGCACACATGCTTTGCACAGAAAGGGGATAGGCTGGTGCAGCTCTCAAACAGGGCGATCAAACAATGGTGAAGCGCTGCTCAGCATCACTCATGATGACCCACCACGTTTGCATGGAACGTGAGGGGTAGCAAACGGTTGCATTCACCTTGATGAGAGCTGTGCAAGAGGGAGGAACGCGGCAGCGGCCGCCCTGGCCCCACTTGATCCGACTTGAGTGTGGCCTGCGAGTAGTGCGTCTCCCGATCGCCGCGGGCCTCCATCCGTGTTTCGGCCCTGCACCACAGATCCTGGATGGGCATGAGCCCGCGTTAGTGCTCGGCCCTTGTGCTACCACTGTAGAGCTCCAGAGCCCGTGCATCCCGGCTTGGAGGTTCGGTGTGCCGGCAGGGCGAGGGCTGCACGCAGGGGCAAGCATGGATACGGATGTCCAGTTGCAGCAGCACCCCGCGCCGGTCAAACGTGGGTCGACTTCCGTCAGCGTATCTGCAGGTCAGTGTAAGGCGCCATTCGGTCGCCACGGCAAGCTGCAGCCTGGGCTTGCGGTGCTATTAGTTTGTACCGAACGTCCTTCCGAGCGACCGCTTCAAGCAATATCGTACAATCGCCCCCTCTCCTTTT